TTTTCTACAAATTTTCTTTTTTTTTAGATATTAGAAATATCTAAAAATATGATTTTAACAACATTTTTAATTTTGAACATTATATTGATCACATTAATTATTTTTGTTTTCATTTTCTTTTATTTAGTAAGAGATTATAAAAATTATAAAAATATACACGAGCACTTACAATCCTTTTATACTGTCTACACTCGGTAAACACTTATTCACATTTGATCATGCAAACTGATGTCTGTTGTTTTTATATCAGTTTCCTCTGTTCGTTCCTCTAAATAAGCGATTGAAATAGAAAGATTTATTTTCGTATTTGCTGAATATGTTAAATTTATATTAATTGATTTAAAGTCAGTATTTATATAGTATACTATATGTGATATTAAAATATTTTTTTATAAGCGAAAAAAAAATATTTTTTGATCAATAATCAATCAATAATTAAAAGATCATATAAATTTATAGTATAAATTCATTATATATTTTACAATGATTTTCATTATATCTTTGATAAAATTTTTAATAGCAAAGAAATTATATAATTGATTGATTAATAATCGATTTTATAAGTATGTAAATGATAAATTCAAGGAAAAATTGTTTGTTTATAATTACAGTATTATGTAATTAGTTAAATAGAAATCCTCCAAAGAAAGATTTCTATCAGATCTTGGAAATATATACATATGTAGGATTGATAATTAATTTGATGTTAGTTATTTCATATTTATATAATGATATCAAACAATTTAAGTGTATTTAAATAAATTTACTATAGATTCATTTTCATTTGAAAAAATTGAAATTTATAAACAGATATATGAACTTGTTTAATTAATTATCTAATTTTTTTCAATTAAATAAAATCACGCGCCAAAAGCAAATATAGAAAGAAAAAGCAAATGATACGAGAAGAAAAAAAAATAGTGAATATAATAGAAATAAAATAAGAATTGATTATCAATATTTCTTATCAAAGAAATTTCTTTCAAGAAGTATCTTTTTAAATGTATTTAAGAGATGGCATTAATCTTCAGTTCTTATTCTATTTTATTTTTTAAAGAGATGTGATACTCTGATACTCAAAAGATTAATTTTTATTCGATTTTTTATTTTTTTTTTTACTATTTTCTATTTTTTTTCATGAGTTTTATTTACAATATTCTAAAAATTGCAACATTGATTTCAATATTTTACTTCTATTTTTCTTTTATTATTTATTCTTTTAGACTATTTACTCTGCAAAATTTATACGAACAAAAAATAGTTTCGATATCCGATTAACTTTATTGTTCTATTGTTTAATTTATTAATTAAAAATTTTAAAAATCATCGATGTTTTCATTCATATTGCATAAATATTTACAATTGTATATTAATACTACATATAAAAAATTGATTTATAACATTTATTAAAATTTATTTAAAAAATTATTAATATTAAATATTAAATATAATATAAAATTAATAACATTATATTTAATTCCATTTTTATAATGTTAAAAATCTTCAAAATTATTATTAAATATATATTTTCATAAAATATAAGCATAATATTTTAATTTAGCTCAAATAAATTTGTTTACTATTTATAGCAGAGTATATTAAACATTTTAATTTTTTTGTATGATCCATATTTTAGACATAAAATTAAATATTAGACATAATATTAAATATTACTTTTCTGTATCTTTAATTTGTGGTGAAATAAATATTTTTATAATTAATGTGTTTAATTATAATAAATGTAATAGTTGAACAAATTTAATTTTATGTTGAACAAATTTGATAATATCTATTTCGAAATTTGTCCGCTAGATGTTTTTACAATTGTCGAACTTTCCTTTCTATACATAAAACTGGAAATCTTATATCCCATACGAAATACAATACGAATTACAATGTTTTTAGTTTTGTGAGGTTACAACTATTTATAAAATGAGCTATTTCGTTATATGTTATTTAAAATGGTGAAATTCACTTTAATGTTGTTAAACATAAAATAATTCATTATTTTAATATATTTCAATGTTAATTAACAATTTCCCAAGAAATTTCTATTTTACAATGGAATAAATATTTATGTGAAATAAATAACCTCTAGCTTAATTTTAATTTATTCATTTTCAACTATGGTAATTTATATATAACTATATGTGATATTTACGTAAAGATTTAATAATGTTAACTTAATAACAAACTTAAATAATATTTAAACTTAAATATTTTAGGCTCTTTTGGGAGCTCAGTTAGTTATCACACTTATTATGGTCAGTGTCATTCAAAAATTAACTCCACATTTTTCTTTAGCAAGATGGATCTTATGTTCTACTGGGTATCTTTTTAATTGAATATAAATATAATGCACATGAAATTCATAATTAATAAAAAATATTACAATAATTTAATAGATTGACACGTTATTTATATCCAACTGATCAGCAACTTAGAATCCTTGCTGGTGTACCAAAAGAAAAATCTAAGAAAGGCAAATATACAGAAAATGGAAAAGTTAAAGAAGTTTTTCATGTTCCTAGAAATTTAGATATTACGCTTGAGAATACTAAAATAACTATATTAGATGTAGTGCATTTAAAATATTATACAGAATATCAGTGGTTATTGGATTTTTCTATTTATGCTATT